ACAAACACAAATTCTATTGGTCAACAGCCAATAATATAACAGACACACATTCTACTGTTCAACCGGTATAAACTATAACAAACACACATTATACTGGTCAACGGCCTATAATATAACAGACACACATTCACCGGTCTGGTCAATAACAGACATGTCATCTACTGGTTATAGGTCTAGCATATTACAGACACACATTCACCAGTCTGCTCAATTACAGACATGTCGTCTACTGGTAATAGGTCTAGTATATTACAGACGCACATTAAACAGTCTGGTCAATAACACACAAGTCGTCTACTGGTTATAGATCTAGTATATTACATCCCCTCATTCAACAGCCTGGTCAATAACAGTCAAGTCGTCTACTGGTTATACGTCTAGTATATTACAGACACAAAATCATCAGATTTGTCAATAACAGACATGTCGCCTACTGGTTACAGGTCTAGTATATAACAGACTGATGAATGTGTGTCTGTTATATACTAGACCTGTCACCAGTCGACGACTTGTCTGTTATTGACCGGACTTGTGAATGTGTGTCTGTTATATTATTGGCTGTTGACCAGTAGAACGTGTGTTTGAGACTGTTGAATGTGTGTCTGTAATATTAGACGACATGTCTGTATACCAATATGTCATATCACGTCAAACCAGCAGACGACATGTCTGTTAATGACCAGACTGGTGAATGAGTGTCTGTAATATACTAGCCCTATAACCAGCAGACGACACGTCTGTTATTGACCAGAATGTTGAATGTGCGTCTGTAATATGCTAGACCTATATCCAGTAGATGACATGTCTGTTACTGACCAGACTGTTGAATGTGCGTCTGGAATATACTAGACCTATAAGCAATAGACAACATGTCTGTTATTGACAAATCTGATGATTTTGTGTCTGTAATATACTAGTCCTATAACCAGTAGACGACTTGTCTGTTATTGACCAGCCTGTTGAATGTGCGTCTGTAATATACTAGACATGTAACCAGTAGAAGACATGTCTGTTTTTGACCAGACTGGTGAATGAGTGTCTGTAATATACTAGACCTATAAGCAATAGACAACATGTCTGTTATTGACCCGACTGGTGAATGTGTGTCTGCAATATGCTAGACCTATAACCAGTCGAGGACATGTCTGTTATTGACAAATCTGATGATTTTGTGTCTGTAATATACTAGCCCTATAACCAGTAGATGACATGTCTGATATTGACCAGACTGGTGTATGTGTGTCTGTAATATGCTAGACCTATAACCAGTCGAGGACATGTCTGTTATTGAGCAGACTGGTGAATGGGTGTCTGTAATATGCTAGACCTGTAACCAGTAGATGACATGTCTGATATTGACCAGACTGGTGGATGTGTGTCTGTAATATACAAGACCTGTAACCGGTAGATTACATGTCTGTTATTCTCTAGTCTGGTCAATAACAGCCATGTGTCATCTACTGGTAATAGGTCTAATATATTACAGACGCACAATCAACAGTCTGGTCAATAACACACAAGTCGTCTACTGGTTATACGTCTAGTATATTACAGACGCTCATTCAACAGTCTGGTCAATAACAGACATGTCGTCTGCTGGTTTGACCTGATATGACATATTGGTATCTATTTGCAGATAATAGCTCCAGTCTACTAAAAGCTTCTTCAATAATGCAAAGTTTACCGTCATGTGTAATAATTTTTTTGTCAAATTGTCATATTTTCTCTGAAAGTCAATACAACAGACGTAATGCTAAGTACACACAACACCCTGGGGTGTTAACGCGTGTTTGTCAAACATACGTACAGGAAATTCCATTCTCCACCGCGCATTGGACATGCTCCAGTTGCGGCCGAAGTGCATTAGATCCAGCAAACCTGAAGTTTTGTGCTCATGAAGAAAATACGTGTATTACAGTGGATAAGAAACGGACAGGCCTATTAGTTTAAATTGCGCATGAATTTTACATGACGACACAGTCAATATTGATGTATCTTGTGGGTTGATCTGTAGCGAAGGGAACAAATGAACAGCCACATCAAATTATTTATTTTTTCGCGACCGTTGAAGATCTTAATGAAATTAACAAAACGGACAAGCGAGCGATATTTTCTTTTCGATACGCAATATTTTGGTGCTCTTACCTAAACGATGGAGCGAGCAGGCACTTTTATTTTTTTACATACAGTGACGTTCTATAGGTCTCTCACGTTCAATATTTTCCTATTTGGTTATATGTTGAATAATTTACTATTTTCCAAAATGTACATGACTTCTTATTTCGTCCCAAGGCAGTATGTTTGCATATATCAAATCTACTAATACAAGAACACATCCGCAGAGATCTTCACTGGTTTTATTATGCTTACACAGTACTTTTAGTGTTCAGAAGTTCTGGAGTTTCCATCAATACCGTTATTGAAAGGGGAATAAAGGATAATTACAAAAAAAGATTAAAAATTACTTCTGGACCTACATGGGTCATCTGATAAACATAGCGGATAATCACGGTGGGTTTTTTTTTAAACAAAATACCTCCTTGTCTCAAATTCGGTTTCACACGTTTCCGAACATAGGTATGGTACATTGTATTTTCTACTTGGGTTTGCACTAATTCTTCCAATTGCATTCGATCATCCGAACGCGCAGATAACCTCGTTTGAAAATAATCCATGAAGACATGACAGCTCAACAGAACCTGATCAAAATGTTGGTATCCTTAACCTAACAATGAACTTTCCTGATAACGTTATAAAACACACAGAGCAATCATCCTCGAAATAAAATATCCTTGTTCGGATAAAGGGCAACAAGTTCAAAAAACTGTCAAAACCGAAAACCACTGCGCACTGATACCATCTTTTCTAGATTATGTTAATTATGTTACATAGTTCATTAATAATACTGAATAGGAAATTAATTATATTAGACAGGTAATTAATTATGTTTAGTTTGTCATTAGTACTGCTAGATAAGGCATTAATTATATTAGATAGGTCATTAATTATGTAAGATAGGTCATTACTAGTGTAGATAGTCATTATGTTAGATAGGTCATTAATTATGTAAGATAGGTCATTACTAGTGTAGATAGTCATTAATTATGTTAGAAAAGGTCATTAATAATATTAGATAGGGCTTTAAATTACAGAGGTCCAGGCTGGTGACAAGTGAGATGATAAAATAGGGACTTTAGACGACATGATAACAACATAAAGGCAAATACACGGACATGTATTTTCAATAACGTAATGCGTTTCTTCCCAATCCTTTTTTAATACTATTTCTGTCATCAATCTTTGTCATCGGATTTCCGAGAATTGCCAATGACAATGCTCCAGAGACTGTATATCGATAACACGTTTTGCTACTTCGCCAGAGTAGTAATGACATGCTCGGGTCAGGCAACCTGACACGGCTAGCTTATCAATCATAGATAGTTAACGATAGAACTATAATGATGACCCTGTTGGTAAGAACTCAAAACGTATTACCAGCTGTGGTGAAAATTGACAAGTTTATTTTTCCTTGGTATTCTTTTATTACATTCTGTATTGTTATTTTTAACGGCATTTTGAAAACCTTGGGTAAGGTTCGCAGAAATAAGCCGTTCTGAGAAAAATCTTAGCAACCTGCAAAAATATAGACGCATCCAAGTACCTTACATATAGGCTGCATAGGTAATTGAAATAATTCAGTTTAAAGGCTACAATTTCTAGGGGCCTTTTCAACCAGGCAGCTGCCTCCAATGCTCATATAGTTTTCTATAATCACCTCGGCGCTAACACACTTTTTAAAAGTTACTCGTAAAAAGTGTTGGGGGGGGGGGGAGCTGAGTGCTGCCAATGTCTGCATACACCACGCCATATTGCTGATAGATATAAATCTCCATTTAAATTCCGCCGAAAATATGGTGACGACATCCCAAAGGCAATCATCTCTTTCGGATCACGTGTATAACATGATTCGGACAAAAGTTCGTCACATAGTTTATAACGAATCGTAGAAGTGACCAAACGCCGCATAAAGTTGTTTTTTTCCAACTTCTTTATTATTTGTTTCTGCTTGTTGTTGTTGTTGTTGTTGTAAAAGAACGCAGCAAAACAAATGATGTTTAGAAAGGCCCCAAGATGTGTTTGTTGTTAAAAGTGAAAATGGTGTTGCTGATATTACTAATTGATTTAAGCCCAAATTCAAGTTTTAATATGAATTTTTTGTAAACACACCAACAAATGCAGATTGTGCATAACTAAATATCATGATGCGGAAGAAATCTGAAATAGAATAATAAAAATGACTTTCCAGTACCTCAAAATATAAGTCACGTGTGTACTGTTTTCAGTGCTACAGTGTATCCTTGTCTTGTGTACCGCCGGAAGTGTTATTTGAGTGTTACATGTAGCAGAGTGTCCGGTCCCGTATTAGTATCGCTCAACCAGACGCTTGATCACGTATATAGTAGCTTGTGTAGAAAACAAGTGTCTGGTTGAACGAGACTAATTCCGTATATGTGGAGCTTCCGCGTGTTTCCTGTGTAACATATACATGTAATCTTTGCGTCAAAACCATAACAAAGTATTGTATCCCAATGGTCCTGGACGTGAGCGTTTTGCGATACTGTATTGCGTAATCAAAATGTTTTACACGTGTTTTTCGAAGATAATCGATTGTCCGGTATTGCAGTTAGTAAAATAATAACGGACGCTATTTCCTTAACGTAATCGGTCACACAAACCATCAATCAGATTACTGCTGAGGTTTGTAAGATACAAAAAATCTCGTTACTATCATATTAAATTAGTTTAAAGTAATACAGGCATCTGTATATACGCCATCTTAATTTATTTAATGTAAATTGAAAAGGTTAGATGTAGGTTAGATGTAGGTTAGATGTGAAGAAATTCTGCCTTTCGATATTGTTTATTTGCCCTGCGCTTCCATATTTGAATCTTTCTTATAATAAAACTGATAACATATTTGAATTATTTTTTATTAACAGGTACAAATAGTAGTCACTATGGCCACCGGAAGACACAACTACGTCATAGACCTTACTGTGATCCGATTGGCTAGCCTTAATCAGATGTTAGATCCTTGGATTTACATTCTACTCCGGAAGACTATTCTTGACAAACTGAAACTAAGTTTTAAAAAAGTCTTCTGCTTTTGTTGTCCGACTCAAGAGGTAGAGGAAGGTACAGACCAAAATGCGCATGCTCATCATCTTAGATGTTTCCGTAAGCAATACAATACTGCAGGACCGCAGCATCTGTGTCACTATCAGAACATACCGGCGGGAGTAGGGTCGTGTCGAAATCACTCAAAGAAATGTTCTAAAAGATCAGACGGAAGTAGGAATAAAAAACATTCACTTCCGGATGTTATGAGAGAGGCACACTCACTCAGTCCCCAGGGTGACTTGCTGAGACCGGATGTTGCAGCTGGCGACACCTACAATGAAATATGCAATCAATGTCAATCAACTCATACTCATTCAAAATTAGAGAAAAAATCGTCGGTCCCGATAGAATGTGCTTACGCTAACAGTGTACTTATGGGACAACAGTGTAACCATGGTTCTGATGACGACAGTGACAGTTCAACGAGCCATGAACACTGTAACATTTGCTCGGGTGTGGAAGAGTCGCAGACTAACGATGTATTCTCCGATCCGGCGGTAGAGACCCTAGAGTCAGAGGTGTTCATGACAAAAACCACAACCAACAGCGGAGGTGGTGGAGGGGAGTCCAACAACCTTCTACAGGCTCCCGTGTCCAGTTCCCGCCGCCACCTCTACTCTGACGTCATTCCATCGTTTAGGTCATTTCGCCTTCCCAGGTATGTAGCATTAGCAAGTTAAGCCGTTTGTCGTCATCTATTTGCTCCATTTTGCTTACCATAATTAATTCAGATGATCTATTTGATTTGTTTAGAATGAAGGTAGTATTTGGCTGTTATATGAGCCGTTTCGGCGTTTATTGACTATTACGATCATTAACTGACAATAGTAAAATATTAGTGGACATGTAACAAGCGATGAATTTAAAAGTCTATAAATATTATAGAACCCGTGATTATAGATCTTGATTACTAACATCGTTAATCTCGATAAATTTTCGTAATCAAAGTAAACACCGATGACAGTGGTACGCACCATTAATTTATATCGCTTTTATATACAGACACTGGACAGTTGTGTCAGTGAACCGATTGGCCTCGCGCACTGTGGTTTTCCATGGTTGTAATCAGCTAATGGTCCTCGTTTTCTCTTTGTGGGATAGTCTGCCAGAATTGTTTAATTCAGGCCATATAAACAATTAACAAGTCTGCTGAATCTCTGCAGAGCAGTTTTGCGGCCGATTCACGATTAACACCGTAACGTTGGTGTTTTATAGACCGTCTGGTACCATATCGATCTGCGACCAGCTCGAGAAAGAAGCCTAGTTTGGTCACTAGGACCTGTGGTGCCCGTATAATGGTGAACTGATACCCAACCAGTGATTATATCATTTTGACGGGAATGTTGTCTGGGACGAAGCGATTTAGGCACCTTTGTTTCACGGGAAATAAACAGAACAGTTGCCTTTACATTAAGTATAAAAACACTTAATCAAGATTATATATTGACCCAAGTAACGTTATTTGTGGAATGGTTTTGTTAAAAATACGCTGTAGAAAGAGCAGATTCCATTCAGACGAGTTTTTTGCTCAAAGTACGCCAGTTAAGTTTCATCTGTATTCAGTATTGATTGTATGTGTTAATACAACATAATTTGGATATGTCTAGGTTTTTGTGGAATTCGATTTAGTTTTCTGACACAAATCCATTTCTTTGTGCTTGTTATGAACAAAACTTCTGGGCAGTTGATTGGTTGGCTGTTTGATTTAGGTTTTTATCATCGCCTTTTTTTAAAATGCAGGGTTTACAGTCGCTACCATTTTTACTTTGCATTATGGGAGAGACAAAATGAACCTGTAAAGTTTTTGCATCCGGAAGAAACCGATGAATATTAGATAACTTACTTTGGACTTTTCGATTTTTCTTCTTTTTTTTTTTTTGATCGGTTTCTGACCCGATAATGTATAGCCTTCTGATGGTAACATTTTTTTTCTAATATTAAACGTTAAACCCAAGTTGTGTTTATCTTCAAAGGAACATGCACAATGTATGCTGTGCTAGTGTAAATAAAATATATATATTTTATTCGTTCGTCATGATTTAAAGTATTGATTTGCCAACAAAACTAAATCACATTCGTTGTTTTATTAATATTTTGCAGACGAAAGAGTAAAAGGATCAAGTCAGCAACCTGATGTGTTAGCCGTCGATATGTTCAACGGGAGACAACTGTGACATTTTCTGCATTACCAAAATATCTATGTGATAATGTTCAAAGGGAGACAACTGTATGAAATGTTTTGCATTACCAAAATCTAATATTGATAATCAAGCGTCAGTGTTGATCAAAAAGGAAAAGGTAATGCTGTAAAACTCCTCTCTGGGAAGATTTTTTGTGATTGGTAACTTAGTTGATTACTTTATTACACATTTGAAACGTTAAATCAATTATAATAATTCTACCACGTCGCAGATGAAACGATTTCAGTTTTTCTATCGATTTATATGCGAGACTGTTACACCCTGAACAAATACAAACCAAAACTTATCTACTCGGCGGGTTCCATAATATCCAGGTCCTGACCTGACTTGGCGAAACTCTTACATCGTAAGGCAATACGACTGATCGCTTGACGAATTGTTTACACGCACATAGGAACAGCCAAATTGTACAACAGATTATCTACGTTGCGCCGCTTTGTAAGCAAAAATACATTTCGTTAAATCGGACGTGGTAAAGTAGATTTTATCATCATGTAATATTAACCATTGTTTGGTATTGCAACAATATAACCCTACCAAATTCAGAAGGCACGCATAACAGTATACAGTTGTTTCATGCCTTATCAGTCAACAGTCAAAACTATTTTCCCGAGGAGTTGGGTCCCAACTCCGAGGGAAAATGGTTTTGACTGTTGACTGATAAGGCATGAAACAACTGTTTTGTTACTTGACTAATGAAAAACAAAAAGTTTCATGTCGTATGTGATGTTTAGATCTACCGAGAGACGACCGTCAACAATCCAGTACCAAAAACGCTTGATCGTTCGATTACCTAACACGTGACCAGTCAACAGTTTTGCGGTAGCACACATTAGCTATAGTTCGTTGGTGAATTGTCTGGGAAACAGTCGAAATTGATTAAAATGCATTTATATAGCGAGTCAGGTAATAACAATGAATGACATTACCCATGTGCTGATGCCATCATTACGTCGATGTCATGTTGTAACGTTGAATGAATACCACTGACCCTCCTAGAAGAAAACCGTTTTGTTCATTAAGTTAATGATGCATACCTTTATTTTAAGTTAAAAACTGAATTTTGGTAATTTAATCAATAATTTCAAATCTTTCAAAATGATAAATTTAAGCACTGAACTGCTTTCTGGTTGCATTCATAAAGTCAGTATATGTTGGAATTGACTACTTCCATGAAGCGCGTTGAATTTGTCATTTCCATCCGTAATTCATAATCAATTTGCCAAATGAAAGCAAAAGAATACATCAATTAATGTTTATTGATGTTGATCATCCTCGAAATATGATTCATAATCAATTTGCCAAATGAAAGCAAAAGAATACATCAATTAATGTTTATTAATGTTGATCATCCTCGAAATATGATTCACAATATCTTACGTGTAAATGGTGAATATTTCTTAATCGTTCATATTTTGAGGAAGATCATTTTAACACAAATCAAAGATAGCATTTGAAAGGATATATACAACCTAACTTTAACACAAATCACAGGTATAATGTGTTATGTTATATTCATCCTTAACTCCAACACTATTCACACTTTCCTTTATCATACATGGAATGCGACTATTGTCGACTTCAACGAAGTACATCTATTTCAATTCAACAATGTTGATTTGTGTAAAGAACTTAAGAGATATAAATTCAAATCATTAATAATTCAAAAGTCATTCACTGTTGTCAAAAAGAAAACAATAGAAATAAAAGGTCGAGTTTAAATTCATATGGTGGTGGGGGGGGGGGGGGGATTAAATTGTGGTTACAGGTTTAACTATCCGTAACGTTACTGAGTAAAAAAATTACCTCGTTGAATTTTACATTATAAGGCGCGAAAGTTAACACTGTATAGCATTGTATTACTTTACACGTGTGGCGCGTGTTTTGTTGTTGTTTGTATGAGTTTATGTTTTGCCCAATATCTTGACAGTCGAATGTTGAGGTCCTGTATCTAGTGAGAATGACACTGTCTGTGATACACCATGCTTTATGTATATTGTAATAAATTATTTTTGTATAAACTCTTTGTCGTGTTATGTGTTTCTGCGATACACCACGTGTTTATAACACAAGGACGAGTCGAATTGTTGCTATTCGACCAACATGGCGGCTTCTCACAGATCTTGACCTGGGAATGAATCGTAAGAATGATAACTCTATCTACTTTATAATCTATAATGATGCACGAAACTGTTTACCAATGTCGTCCCCGCAATGTCTGTCCTGAAACCTTTCCACACATATGACATATGCGCCATATTTGTGTTAGTGCGCTTTGGTGTTGCTCTGCTCTGAAATCTGGTAGAGTTGATGTAACATCGGATTCCCTTCTAGTGGTATTTTACGATTACTGTTGTTATCGCTCCACTTCTGTTTACCTTCTCTTTTCGTTCCTTGTCCCACTTCAATAGTATGACATTGTATCTAGACGACAGCAGATCGAATAACGATTAACCGGTACTCTTACTGGACAGGGTTTATTAGCCTGTGTCCACGTTTGACGAGGGGTAGGCCACGCTATACAAACAAAACATGGGCGTTTGTCAATACCATTAATTCTGTTTTTAGAATGATGAGTTTTCACGATTCAAAGTATCGGGAACGTGGATAGCGTATAGCAATCAAGCACATAAGCAGTCCCCTTAGTCGGGATAGTAACACAAGAATACTTGTCTCATTGCAGACAAGACACTAGAGAACTGCAATGTAGCCTAATGATTCAGAGTATCGGTAACGTACGGCCACCTACCGGTCAAGTCAATGGTGACATAATACGTGTTAGGAAACACTAGAGAGAAATGTCACGTTATAGTTTGTTGTTCTATTCCGTCTTTGCGTATTGCTGAGTTATCTTCTCTTGAGAGCCGGTATTGATTGTTACGTCCTTGGTTTGTGTGAAAAAAATACGTCGTTTTCTCAAAAATTGCTGACGTTACTCTCACAAGCAAATGACGTAACAATCCCTACCTGCTCTCAAGAGAAGATAACGCTGCAATACGCAAAGACGGAATAGTAGCGTAACGTCATTGTCGTAGTATGGTCCTGATTATAACTTTCGTGTAGGAGGGCCTTAACTATGTACCCTATTTGTACGAAAGACATCACATTTTCCAAAGAATTCATACTCCCTTCACCGTCTTGTCCTTGTGGTTCATTGCAGTCGCGATTGTTGGCGTGTAGCTATATATTGACAGATGACTCTATGATTTAAATACGTTTCTTACAGGATTTTTTTATCATTATTACCATTCATCGGATAGGTTCATCATCATTTGCATTATTGTAAATGAAAACAAGGTGGGTATGTAAAGGAAAAGTAAGATCCCACAAGACGAACCAGCATTGTGTAATTAATCCAACATATGCTTATATGGGCAACTGTATATGTACACTGGTATTAGATTTAATCTATCAACACTGAAGAAACTTACAACTTAACTACTTGTCCAGATGGTTTGAGGCAAATTGCAGTAATACCTATGTGTGGCAAGGTTTCAAAATTTCGAAAAGGACAGTTCTTACTTGGACATAAGACTTTAAACATTTCATAATTCTCTCACCAATTCGGTGAAATGCAATGCTATCATATCTGTTTTAAGACCAATAGTTTGCTGATACTCGAAACTCAAGGGGTTACGGCTTCGCTATCGTCACCCCTGGAATATGTCATAGCAAAATCGAAGGCGCAGTGTGCACCAAATTGTAGATGAGACAAGAAGACTAATTTAACCCTTTTATCAAAAGAATAGTGTTGGTCGCGTAACGGTAAAATTGACTGGCTTTCAAGTCGGGTTTTGCTCCTCTGTAATCTTCAAAGAACAGGTGTCAGCCTAGCGATTGGTCAGGTTTTTTTGCCTGAGACCAATCAAATAGCTAGCCGCGTACCTTCAAATTTGCTATGACATATTCCAGGGATTTAGCTGGATACTCCTGGATATCGAATATGGAAGAGTAATAACATTGCACGAATGAATGAGACGCAAGGATGTTTGGTATATGATATTGTGAATAAGATAAAAATAATTCCGGATATTATTTTCAGTCATCCGAGCTCTAAATAGTTTCAATACAAATGCAGGTTAGGGGTTCTATATATGTTATATATGAAGAATGGCAGACGTTAGGTGAAAGTAAAGTGAAGCACGCGGATTTCAACTTTGTTTTGTTAAATTTGTTAGTTTTTTTTCGATACCACTTCCTTAACAGAAGATGGCATGTATAAACTGTCTACATAAAAAATTATACGTTAGTTCTATCAGGAAATCCATCCATCTATTTTATATTAACAATGTCTGACGTTATTTAAAAAAAAACAGGCTGACACAAGACAAATGAGATGGCTCCAAAACATCATACCATTTGTAGTTACATCGCCATGATTAGGTAGTACTATTTATAAGCTGTTAAAGACGTATTGCTTAGTAGGTGCAAACTTAATACTTAAAGCTGACAGTGCAAGTTAAAAAGCTTTCATTGAGATTAAAAAATAAATAAATTTTACTCAAAATATATTTTTTCTGTTTTTTTAAGACTTCCCCGTCTCTTCAGACTATCGTTTCTAGGGAAGTGACGACATTTTAGTTTGGTCCTCAAAACCAGAAGAAGAAAAAAAATGAAAAAAAACTGGTTAGTAAAATACAAAGGTACAATGGAGAAACTTTATGACCTAAGAAAAAGATGTAGGTACAATCGAAATGGCATGTACAACATCTAGCTATAAAGTTAAATACAAAATATGTTCGAACTAAGTAAAATTGTATACAATAATGTAGGTATGATATACAAACTAGATTCAATCTAGATAAAGCTAAATACTGCGAATGTATATCGACTACATACAAAATAGACGCATATTAATTTTGATACTAATTAATTGCACATAAAATATTACTGTTAATTCATTCAAGCTACTGTATGTTGTAATGTGTTGATTGATAACAAAGTATATTATATTGTGTGATTGAAGTCAATATATCACATTTACGTCATCATTGCACTTATCTTTAACTACATAACTCGTGATTGCTTACACGCAGGATAGACCAAGCTGTCGTGGTCGGGTCTAAAACAAGTCCAAACTCATCCAATCCATTATCATACATTAACTAACCGCCGACTTTCAATTATGGAATATTTATCAATCTCAGATTCGGAGGAACTGTTAATGTACACAGATGAAGTTTTAGTACAACAAGTTTGTTATCATGAGCTATTGTCAGTTGTATAGGGTGGTGAATTGGGTTGGTGTGGCGATAAATTAATTTGCCTCAAGACCAACTCAACTATATTTATATATCCTTATGGACGCGACCGTAGATAAAATCCTGATGCCGGATATCCCGTTAACGTAGTCCGAGTAATTACTAAAGTACTGCAATATAATGCAGACATGTAAAACATCTCCAGCAATTTCAGATTAAATCAGTGGATTTCGACCTTATTTTCAGCTCTTGATGTAACGTATTTCAGAGGTAGGCTTGTTCGTATTACCGAACCTAACCAAACTCATTAATGGTATATGGACACATCGAAATAAAGTCTTCTCTTAAAAATACCATGACATAAAGTAAAG